ATGCAACATTTTTCGAACCACTTACAACCTCAACCTTAAGGGTATACAAGCCTTGTTTCTTCAAGCCACTCAAGACTTCCTTCGACCCCTTCATGACTCTTAGGATACTTTTCTCTCATTGAAAAACATATCCCTTTCTGTCGAATTCACCAAGAGAAATCAAATTTTCTCTTCAAATCAGGTACATATCTGACTTCAGTCAATAACTTTATTGACTCATCATGAAGCTTGAATTTCACAGAGCCACTACTTGCAATTTTGCAAGATTTGTTGTTTCCTAGCAGCACCGATCCACCATCTTGATCACATAGCTACTCGAACAATTCTATGTTTGGAGTCATGTGCCAAGTGCAACTTGAATCCATAATCCATTCTTTTCTTGAGTCGCTACTTGAAACCACGAGAGCATCAGATGAGTCAAAATCATCTTGAGCAATGGTTGTGTTGTCATTATACTTACCTCCATGATCTTTCATGTGTTCAGGGTACACCTTTCTTGTGTGACCCTCCTTCTTATAGTGATAACATCGAAAACCAGATATTTCGCCACTATAAGACTTCTGTTGACTTTTACCTTTCTTCTTGTCGAACTTACCATCCTTTCGCAAGAATTTTTCCTTAACGGTCAAACCTTGGCCCACCGTCAAAGATTTATGCTCCTTTCGTTTGTTCAAGTCCTTAGAATACAAGGCTGATTTAACTTCTTCAAAGCTCAGGGACTCTCTTCCATACAAGAAAGTTTCTTTGAAGTGAGCATGTACTCTAGGCAAAGTACACAATAACAATAGTGTTTGATCTTCATCATCAATCTTCACATCAATATTTTAAAGATTAAGAATGAGTTTGTTAAACGTATCCAACTGCTCATCCAACACTTTATCTTCACTCATCTTGAATGAATACAAAACTTGCTTCAGGTAGAGTCGATTCACCAGAGATTTGGTCATGTACAAACTTTCAAGTTTGACCCATAACCCCGATGTTGTAGTCTCTTTTGATATCTATCGAAGAACCTTATCACCAAGGCTCAACAATATTGCGATGTGGACTTTATCAATCATGGCCGTATTTTCTTTTGTTATTAGCGCATCGTCCATGGCTGCCTCTCCATTCAAGACTTCCAAATAATCATACTGAACCAGTAGTGCTTTCATCTTCAAGCTCCACATACCTAAGTCGTTCACTCCAGTGAACTTTTCAATCTCATAATTTATTGAATGCATCTTCTCCACACTTACCGCACCAATTTGTTGTGAATAGGATGTCTTGAAACAAAATATAAATGGTTTCTTAATAAACAAGAAACACAAAAGGGTTAGGGTTAACAAAGAAAACAAGGGAAAACAACAAGAATTGGTTATAAACTTCTACTGTTTCCTTTCTCTATCAAACAAGATTAGAAGTATACAAGAATAACAAATAACCTCTCTCTCTTGAATTAGGATTTTATCTTCCTATTTTTCCTTATACAAGATGATAGACTAGCATGCAATTTATAAGAAAAGTAGCACATTAACCTAATGGTTTTTTTTTAACAATTACTCATTACAAGCTAACTTAGGGTACAAGCTAACTTAAACAATTGAGCTTACAATCAAGACTCAATTCAACATGCTAACAAACCTAGCGATAATTACTAATGCATGTTAAAACAAACTTCGACTATAACACACATTACTCGCGAACAGACTTCAACCATACTAGAGTTCGATCGAATATCTTACTATATATATATATATATATATATATATATATATATATATATATATATATATATATATATATATATATATATATATATATATATATCAAGTCAACCTAATCCAAGATATAAAAAAAAATGAATTTAAAGTTACAACTAAAAGTTCTCCAAAAATATCAAAAAGTGGTAAAGATAACAATTGATAAGTAAGTTAAAGTATTTAACCTCAAGAATTGGTAATCATAATCAAAAGTAGTATATATTTCAACTTTAATTATTAAAATGACTGAAACTTTACCCTTTCAGATAAAGCATGCAAATGTTGTTGAGAATAATATAATAAGTGTCAGTAGTATGGGTAACAGTCTTACATTGGATAGGAATGTGATGACTTGGGCATTTATATTATTCATATTACTCACACTTGTTATATTATTCCGAACCCTCCCCCTCAAGTGTGAGTCCACATGAGGGAGAGCATTGTGGACTCACACTTGAGGGGGAGTGTTGGTAATAATATAACAAGTGTGAGTAGTATAGATAATACTCCCACATTGGAAGGAATGTGGTGACTTGAGCAGTTATAAATAGGAGACCCATACACCTATCACCTAAAGGTTTTGAATGAATATGTGGTGTGTCTCTTACTTGTGTTACTCTTGGCCTAATATTCAATGCTTCCTGGTCTAAAACTCCTCTAACAAATGCTTCGCTTTATTGTAGAAAAGACAATTATTTTGCTTTCTCTAAATTATTGAAATCATAGAGAATCAAATAGTGTTAAAAGTCACTCGAACATTTTTCAAAAAACCACCAATCCCATTAAACGACAAGAGATGATCAAAAATCATTTTTTGGGATACCGTTGAGAATCCTAACCAATTATAAATAATAAACCATAGCTTACCGAAAAATTACATGTTATAAATAGATGATTTTTGTCTCCATCCACGTTGTGAATTGGCACGCATCGCTGATTATATATGGTAAAAATAATTATTAAAAAATACGGATATTTACGAATAAGAGTAGAGTTAAATCCATATTTGTATTTGAATTGAAAAATAATTAAATATTTTTTAATTTTGTTAGTGGATATTCAATAAACTATTAAACGTGAGCTATAATAATGCTTATATGCAAATAATAACAAGTATGAATTGTTTTGTCATTCTTACTTTTATTTTGAAAATTTAATATTAATTTGATATCAACTAATTTAAGAAGAAAAATTTCATCGTCGAGTAATGGAGTTTCTAATTATTTTAAGGTAAAGAAAATATAATAAATAAGAAAAGAAACTACAAAAAATTAGAGGGGCATATAAACCTGGCTCAATCACATATCAACCCTAAAAGCATAAATCTGACCCATAATACAACATAGAAAACAAAAGTAGTATTTAAAAGAAAACAAACTAGACAAGAAAACTAGTAAATAATCCAACGCAAAGCAATTAGACACATAGTGCAATCTAGCAAAACAAACCTGGGGCCAAAACCAAATTGTAAAAGAAAAGTGTGTAAAAGGCAACAAGTATTCGGAACGAACTAGATACAAACTTGAAAAATCAAACTCAACTTTGTAGAATGGTAAATGTTTCGACCATCAATATAGACAAATACACGTACCAACAAATCTTGTGATATAAATCCCAACAAGCTTAATAACTATTTCAAGCATAGTTAAACTAGACCTCAGCGAGCTAGCTCAAAGGCATCCTGTTATCAAACAACATTATCACATCACATCAGCGACGGGGCTATAACCACCACAGAAGTACTACTGTAGTGTCAAACACCAAACATAATGAAAATTGTAGATCTTAATAGACTGGAAAAGAACCATAGATCAAAGTCAAGATTTCACCATCAACACTAGTGAATCGTAGCTTAACAAGGAAGATTTGAAAATAATAATTGAAAAAAAATATCAAAACTATGCAAAGGCACAACGAACTAGCCAGCAACACCAAAGAAGCATAAACGGCATGCAAGAAGATCGCAACTTGAAACACTATGCTGGAGAACTTTGCACAGAGATATTCTCCTAGAGCTTCAAAAAGAACATAACCAACAACCAGTAAAATGGAACAAGGAGAGGAAACATGGCAACGAGACCATCGATGTAGCGTAGATATCACACCAACCCTAGATGGAGTGAAGGGTGGAGCATCCTGACAGGCGTCATACCACCACCATGTAGATCTACATTGTTATTAGCGTTCATATATGAAAGGGATGGAGGAAAAATAAAAGCGGCGGCGGAAATACGAACTAGCCTAACATAAAAGTTATTAGTATTGTTTCGGACCAGCCAAAGGCCCAATCCATCTCCAACTCACTTTACTCGACACAAAATATAAAAAACAGTTCACACATGATGATAAGGTATACAATTCTTTATGACAAATTTCACTTTGTTCATCTTGAATCTTAAACTGACTTGTACATTGAATTGTTAACCATTCAGGTATATCTCGTGCCGTCGTAAAGAAGATCAGGACCATAGTCCAAAATCAACATTTGATCATCTCTTATCATTTCTGATTTCTTCGTGAAACTAAAACATCCTTTTCTGATTCCCAAACAGAACATTGACGCATTCTATGGAAAACGACTCTCGATTCCTACGTTTTCACACATTAATGTTCGTTTTTCAACCTCATTGTACGAACTCAGGAACTCCGGATCTAGATTCTTACGATTCAGATCTAAATTTTCGATTGAATAATTCGTAACCTCTGTATATTACCGAGTTAAAAGAGAATCGACTTCCGACTCCTACATCATCACCGAGTCTTAATTCACCGTTTACTTCATCGTTCACAATCTTCTTAAGTGTTTTGAAGTAAAATAAAAAATTTCTCATAGCATGCCAACCTCAAATGGAGTGAAGGGTGGAACGTCCCAAAAGGTGTCACATAAAAATGACTAGTACCTAAAAAAAGAAAAAGCACATTCTCGACCCAAACTTTCACTTGATAGCATTGTAAACAAACTTTTATTATTTATTAATTCTTATAAATATAAAAACTTAAAAAAAAAAATATTAATTATACTCTTAAAACATTTCACATTGTAAGTAGCTGTGGCTGTGTATCTTAAAAATCCAAAGTGCAGCTACCACAGAGTAGATAGATTGTCAAATTAGTACTACCACCTACCTCATAATCCTATTTTTTAAATCCTAAAATTCTATTATAAATATAATCTTTATCCACCACCTTTTACTCACAACACAACTACTACGATAACTACATCCAATTCAACATTCTTCTCATCACATAACAAACAAAATGGCTGCAGCACTTACAGTCCCAGAAGTAGTCCTCCCTTCCTCCACCGGACAACGGAAAATGCCGGTGATGGGCCTCGGCACCGCACCCGAAGCAACCAGTAAGGTTACTACAAAAGATGCTGTCCTTGAAGCAATCAAACAAGGTTACAGACATTTTGATGCTGCTGCTGCATATGGTGTTGAACATTCTGTCGGCGAAGCCATAGCTGAAGCCCTTAAACTTGGACTCATTTCATCAAGAGATGAACTCTTTGTTACTTCTAAATTGTGGGTTACTGATAATCATCCTCACCTCATTGTTCCTGCTCTAAAGAAATCTCTCAGGTAATTCAAAAGTTATAAATCTTCATTTTTTACACATGAACTATATAGATATTGATTTGATATGTGTGCACGTTTGTTTTTGTAGGACTCTTCAACTAGAATATTTAGACCTAATTTTGATCCATTGGCCAATTACGACTAATCCTGGTGAAGTTAAATACCCTATTGATGTATCAGATATTGTGGAATTTGACCTAAAAGGTGTGTGGACATCATTGGAAGAATGTCAAAAACTAGGTCTCACCAAAGCTATTGGAGCTAGCAACTTTTCTATCAAGAAGCTTGAAAGACTGCTATCCTTTGCAACCATCTCTCCTGCAGTGAATCAAGTAATTAGCAATATAAGATCATAAATTAAAATTAATATGTTTATGATTGTGAATCAAGATGCTAATCATTTATTAATACTTAATATTTTAATTAATAGGTGGAAGTTAACCTTGGATGGCAACAAGAGAAGCTTAGAGCCTTCTGCAAGGAAAAGGGTATTATCGTAACTGCCTTCTCACCCCTGAGAAAGGGTGCTAGCAGAGGAGCTAATTTAGTGATGGACAATGATATACTCAAAGAATTGGCAGACGCTCATGGAAAGACTGTAGCTCAGGTATGTATATAGAGAACTTTTTGTTATAGAGAACTTTTTCATGAAGTTGCATGAATTTATTGTCTGAAAATTGTACAGATTTGTCTAAGATGGTTGTATGAACAAGGATTGACATTTGTGGTAAAGAGCTATGACAAGGAGAGGATGAACCAGAACTTGCAAATATTTGACTGGTCATTGAGTGAGGATGATTACAAGAAAATAAGTGAAATTCATCAAGAGAGACTCATCAAAGGACCAACCAAGCCTCTTCTTGATGATCTATGGGATGAAGAATGAACAATCACTTCAATTTGAAACATTTACTTTTAATAAAGCATGTGTCATCATAGTAATTGCGAGTGTACCTTTTTTTTATGTCTAGTTGCAAGTTATTTATTTATTTTCACGAGTTTTTAGTTTTCTTGCATATTATATAAAGCAAGTGTCATTATATAATATGTAACGGTTGTCAAGATAACAATTTTAATTGAACGAGTCTTCTTACTTTTCTTGCATATTATAGATAAAATAACTTGTATGAATATATCACCAAAACCAAATACAGATAGTCAACACATTAATTAAGCTGCAAAATCCAACGAATTAGTTCTCTTTCATCATCAACATTTGCATAAAATAATTCTCTTGTCTCCTAATCCAGCCTGTAATGCTGTTTAGAAAAATCAAACCATGATCGTCATTCGTCGCTCTATGGAACACATGATTCTATTCTATATCACTATCTCGCAATTTTCATTGAATAATCGTAAATTTTTTGAAGATAATGACTGCAATATAAAATGTAGCCATTATGGACCGTAGTTTGGGAAAGTCAACATGTTAAAGATGATAAATATCAAAACATTGAATCCATCCACAGCCTCTCGAATGATTTCTTATAATTTTTTTTTTTAATAAAAAAACATGGTGTGTGTATAGAAGTTTTACGTTGATTTTTTGTTGGATGAAATAATAACATTGTTATAAAGTATATTATTTATAATATTGTTAATAAAATAAATATTCATTATTAAATTATATATATATAAATTAAATATTCATTATTAAATTATATATATATATATATATATATTATTTTTTTAAATTGCAATTTTCTTTTTATTATATTTTTTATTTAAAAATTAAATAATTTATTCTTTCCATTATAGTACTACCAAGGGTATTTAACTATAAAATGATTCGTTTACTAAATTGTATCTTAAACCTAACTTATCTAAACTGCTCGAAACACGTAAACATCAAGGCATCTCAAACAATTCTAAAGCTATGTTCTAAATTTTAAAATCAATTAATAATAAAAAAATGTAAAGAATTTAAAAATTGGTATATATATATATATATATATATATATATATATATATATATATATATATATATATATATATATATATATATATATATATATATATATATAATTGTGATTTTCTTTTTATTCTATTTTTTATTTAAAAATTAAATAATTTATTCTTTCGGTTATAGTACTGACGGAGGGGTTTGTTATCCATATTTAATTATAAAATAATTCGTTCACTAAGTTGTATCTTAAACCTAACTTATCTAAACTGCTCGAAACACCTAAACATCAGGGACGTCTCAAATAATTTCGAAGCTCTGATCTAAACTTTAAAATCAATTAATAATCAAAAAATGCAAAGTATTTAAAAATTGGTAATAAATAATTTAGTAATATAATAAGTATTTAAATATTTAATTAAAAAAATCATCTATATTAAAGAAATGAAATTGAAAATGTTAATAAAAATGAATATTATATAAAATAAGAGAAAAGAAAATTCAAAGAAATATCTTAGATCAGTTGGTAATAGACTACTTAATTAGCTCAAAGGTAACAATAAAATTTGTTTCAACATAAAATATGTATAATAATTTTATTGTTGTAACTTATAAAACCCAAAAAAAATTTGAGCCCTCTTTTTTTTAGGTCTTGTGCAACAGTTTGATTGCACTCAAATCTGACCTTGATAAATATTATGTTTTGGGTTGGATTGCAAAACAGAAAAGTCATCAAATTTTTTTAATTAGTTAAAAATAAAAAATCTTTTAAGATTATGTGTTATTGTTCTTCTAACACCAACCTTACTATTTTTAAATGGTAAAAGAAAACATTATTATATTTTGAAATAACTTCTCTGTTGTAAATTACGATGTCTTAAAATAAAATATATTCGGTTTCTTTATGATTAAGAAACACACAAGGGTTAGAGTTAAGAAAAACAAGGAGAACAACAAGGATCAGTTATAACTTCTATTCTTTACATTCTCTATAAAACAGATTACAAGTACTCAAGAATAACAAATAATCCTCTCATCGTAATTAGATTTTGTCACACCACACCTAAGATGAGAGACTAGTATGTTATTTATAATAAAGGTTAAATATGTTTTTGATCCTTATAAAATTAATAACTTTTGTTTTTGGTCCCTATAAAAAAAACAGTGTGTTTTGATCCCTACAAAATAATTATACATGTAGTTTTAGTCCATACTGTTAAACCAATGTGAATTTTTGAATGTATTTTGTAGATATGTTTAGTGTAACGCCCCGATTTTGATTATTACATTTTATTGAGTATTTTATTTGATTTGAGTAATAATTGTATTAATTGTGAATTTGATGTGTTAATATGGTATGTTTTGATATTTTACTGTTTCGGAGAGTTTTCGGGTAAAATTAGATTGGAGGGTATTTTGGTCATTTTACATTTAATAGTGAGGAAAGAAATATAAAAGAAATAGAAATAGAAAGAAAGAGATATAATAGTAGGTAAGAAAAAAAAGAAAAGAAAAAGAGAAATAGAGGGGAAGAGGAGAGAAAGAAGGAAGAAGAGAAGAAAAAGGGAGAAAGTTAAGGATTCTTTAAGAACACTTGCTAGGAATCGAATAATCGAGTAAGGGTGTGAAATCTTATTATCTTATCATTGTGTATGATTATGTATGTTTTGGTTGAAATGGTTTGGTTGTTTTCGACACATTTCCGTTTAGGTCTAATTAGGAAAAATCGATAAAAACCGATATTTTCGCGGATGAAACTCGAAATAAATTGCATAGTTTAGTCGAGTAATGTTTAGTCGTGATTATTGAATTTCGTTTGATTGAATTTGGTTGAATTTGTGAGTTTTGACATTTTTGGACAATTGGAGGTTAAGATTTTGGATGAAAATTGGAAGTCGTAGAATTTGCGCTCTATGATCCTAAATTGTTACTATATGATTGGTAATAATGAGTAGGTATTTAATCGGGAGAAAATAATTTAATCGGTCGGGTTTTTGGATGTTTTGGGCAAAAACCTGTAACCTTGTTTTTCCAAAATTTCAGGTGTTAACCGGTTAACAATATCTGTTAACCGATTAACAGAGTGTTAATGCGCCAGGATTTTGAAAATCTGGGTGTGTTAACCGGTTAACAGAAAGTGTTAACCGGTTAACACTGTAAGTGTGAGAAAAATATTATTTTTCAAAACTTTGAAAATTCATAACTTCTTCACCGTTTATCGGATTTTGTCGTTCTTTATATCAAACTGAAGCTAATAATATGTTCTATAACTTGGTGAAAAGAAATATTATTTTTAGCCGACTTTTAGCCAATTTTACCGATTAATCGAGATTAAATACTTTAAGTAAGTGAGGCTTAAATAATTAGAGCATTCGGTTGCCGTTCGGCATAACTGTTGTGAATGCATATGGATTGTATGTGATAATATGAGATGAATGCATGAAAATATTATGAATGTGCTTGCATTTCAAGAGAGTAGTGGTCATTTTGTATGTGATGCATCATGACATGCATTCTTATGCTGAATTGATTCCGTGAGAATCTGCTGATCGGATTGTGTGCCCGTGTGGGGTGTGAGCAATCCATAAATGATTATGTGCATGTGTGGGGTGTGAGAAATCAGATTGTGTGCCCATGTGGGGTGTGAGCGATCAGATCATGTGCCTGTGTGGGGTGTCAGTGATCGGATTGTGTGCCCGTGTGGGGTGTGAGCAATCCTGAAACATCGTGTGCGCATGTGGGATGTGAGCGATGGGTGAACATCGTAGGCCCGACGGGGAGTTACTTCGGTAACGAGCGATGGTTCTATTTGGTTCTTCAATTGAACCTGCTGAATGAGTCGGTACCGCATTGCATCTGCATAGAGTCGTGAGTCGGTCTCTATGATTTGCATTTGTCATCCTTGTATGTGTGCATCGATGATTGAATCAACATTTATATGTATATATGTTGATGTGGAATGATGAGAATAGCATCATTGTATTGATGAATGAGTGTAGAAACATATATATATATATATATATATATATATATATATATATATATATATATATATATATATATATATATGTATATATATGTGTATATATGTGTGTGTGTGTGTGTGTGTGTGTGTGTGTGTGTGTGTGTTTAGAGGGAATGGTAAGGATTGTATCATTTTAATGATACATTTGGAATGAACATAAATTGTGTGTTTATGTGAATGATGATAATTGTGGAGTGTGCAGGATTGATATGCCTGGAGGCATATCAATCCTGCACACTCCACAATTATCATCATTCACATAAACACACAATTTATGTTCATTCCAAATGTATCATTACAATGATACAATCCTTACCATTCCCTCTAAACATATATATATATATATATATATATATATATATATATATATATATATATATATATATATATATATATATATATATATATATATATATATATATATATATATATATATATATATATATATATATATATATATATACGTTGTGATGTATATGAGAGGTGTGATGAAGAGTTGTGGTGAGAATGAGATATGTGTATATGTTATATTGAGATATATAATTATATGAAATGGTATTATGATAATATTCCTCACCCTTCTGCTGTTTTATGGTGCCTTTGAGGCATTGCAGATTAGGTATGCTGGTGATCCCTTTTTGTGAAGCGTGTCTTCATTGTTTTGGTCAGATGGCTCTGATATGTAACACCGGGTAGCTAGGAAGCCTTTGGTTCTTTTTGGTGATACATTTGTATATGTATTTTTGGTGATGCATGTTTATGTAAACATGAATGATGTTGATGACTTATATTGGACAATGTGAATATGTATATATGCATATACATGCTGTTGTGATTCAATGTTTAGATTTTCCGCTTTCATTCTAAATATTGAGATGTGGGTGTAAGGACTAAGTTCTTACGTTGCAAAAGTTACCCCACTGTTGCATATCATATGTTGAGTAGGCGTTGTATATTT